TAGATAGATAGATAGATAGATAGATGATAGATAATAGATATAGACAGACAGACAGAGATAGATAGATATAGAGATGATAGAGATAGACAGACAGATAGATATAGAGATATAGACAGACAGAGATATAGATAGATAATAGATAGATAGACAGACATAGAGATATAGATAGATAGATAGATAGATAGATAGATAGATAGATAGATAGATAGATAGATAGATAGATAGATAGATATAGATATAGACAGACAGACAGATATAGAGATAGACAGACAGACATAGATAGATATAGACAGATAAATATAGATATAGATAGATAGAGATGATAGATATAGACAGACAGATAGATGTAGAGATAGACATAGACAGACAGAGATAGATAGATAGATAGATAGATAATAGATAGATAGAGATAGACAGACAGAGATAGAGATATAGATAGATAGATAATATAGATAGATATAGACAGACAGACAGACAGATATAGAGATAGATATAGACAGACAGACAGAGATATAGACAGATATATATAGATAGAGAGACAGACAGATATAGATAGATATATAGACAGATAGAGATAGATAGATAATAGATATAGATAGATAGACAGACAGACAGAGATAGAGATAGATACAGACAGACAGATAGATATAGAGATAGATAGATGTAGATAGATAGAGATAGATATATAGAGATAGACAGAGATAGAGATAGATAGATAGATAGATAGATAGATAGATAGATAGATAGATAGAGAGAGAGAGAGAGAGAGAGAGAGAGAGAGAGAGAGAGAGAGAGAGAGATGTAGATACATATAGCTATATAGAAATAATTGGCTTAAGCATACAAACACCCAAACCCTGAGCCAGATGGCTGGTCGGGTCACTTTAAGGACAAAGGGCTTCTTAGCTTAAGCCGCTGTTCCCATCTTAAGAAGTAGTAAGGTAGAGCCGTGGGATCTGCGGAGCATATAAATATTTAAAAATTTAAATTAGCTTGGAAAGAAAGAGAGAGGCTTCTTGGAATTATTTTCGAGTGGAAAGAGAACGGAGCTTTCTGCTCTGAGGTTTTCCAGAAAGGAAACTATTTCAACTCCCCAAAGCAAAGGCACCGACTGACACAACCACTGGCTGGTGTTTCTTTGGCAAGGACCACGTTGGGGAGAAAGCCAACAGCTCCTTTGAGGCTTGGTCTCCCAAGTTGGAGGCGCGGAGAATGTTCTGACTCACCTCCACGGCCAGCGGGCCGAAACTGCCTCCTTCTACTGGGTTGGTGCTAGGAACCATCTGCTAAGCATCAGAAGCCAAAGAAGAAGAAGAAGGCCAAATAAACAGGAAGGAAGGACGGTCCTGGGAAAGCGATGAAGGACCCACCTACGTCGGCTTGGAAACCTACCGACTGAGCTCATCTTTGGATGGTTGAAAACTCTGTTGTTCCTCTGGCACTCATATCAAAGGAGAGCATCAAAGTGCTTTCGGGATTTTTTTTTTTTCCCCTCCACATCCCCCTCTAGTTTGCAACTACTGGTCTCTTCCCCAAGTTCTAACCGTCAACAAACTTTAACCCGAGGATGTCCAGCCTCGGCCATTTTTAAGACCTGTGGATTTCAAGTCCCAGAATTCCCCAGCCAGTCATGCCTAGTTCAAGAAGGGCAGAAGGCAGAATCTGAAGTGATGAACAAATGAGGAATGTGTACTTGCTAAAATGTACACGCTTTTATGGACATTTGAAACAGAAGAAGTCCACAAGGAAGAAGAACACATGACTTGCTCGTTTTCCAACGAGAGTAAATATTTATTAAGTTCCTAGTCAGCGTTAGATAACACAACAGGGTAAAACCAAGCAGCCATAACATTCTCAACCAGTGGTGGTGAACCTATGGCACGGGTGCCAGAGGCGGCACTCAGGGCCCTCTCTGTGGGCACGCGCGCCGTCGCCCCAGTCCTAGGCCTTCAGCTGGGTTTTATAAAACCTTTTTGCTTTAGGCCTCCGCCACCATGTACTAAAAAAAAAAGATTCAATCAGTCAATTTCAACTTCTCGCGGGAAAATAAAAGATCTTGCAAAGTTGGAATTGATTGAACTTTTTAGTCCCACCCAGTCTGCCGTTACCACCGCAGCCATGCCCACCCA